CGGGTGTTCTTGGAGAATGTCATTCTAAGTGAATTAAGCCAGAAAGAGAAAGAAAAATACCATATGAGATTCCTCATATGTGGAATCTGAAAAAAAAACATAAATACAGAACAGAAACAGACTCACAGACATAGAATACAAACTTGAGGTTGCCAAGGGGGTGAGGGGTGAGAAGGGAGAGACTGGGAGTTCAAAATGTAGAATAGATAAACAAGATTATACCATATAGCACAGGGAAATATATACAAGATCTTGTGGTAGCTCACAGAGAAAAAAAATGTGACAATGACTACATGTGTGTTCATGTATAACTGGAAAATTGTGGTCTACACTGGAATTTGACACAACATTGTAAAATGACTATAACTCAATAAGAAAAGTTTTAAAAATTAATTAATTAATTAAAAATAAATAAAAATTCCTTTCTGGTTAAAAAAAAATTAGTGCCAGCCTGCTCCAGACATATATTTTTAAAGTTATCTTGTAAAATAAGTTTATTATATGGACATTTTTATGTCTTTATCTCAATGTCCTTACCATTCATTACTGCATAGTAAAATGCATTAATTAATAATTTGTGAATGTGATTCAAAGGTGTTTCGTGTGTTCAGTTTCATAGAGTATGTATGAGACACAGGTGAGGTTGCTATCACTTGGTCCTTCCTTCTTCCGGCACCTCATTGCCCATTTATAAATAAGGAAAGGATCACGGCAAGCTATTGGAATGATTGAAATTGTTCATCCTAAAGAAAATCTGACTGAGTATGTGTTTCGCTGGTAGTTTGAAGAGTGTCATCAATTGTATAATTTGAGTGTGGTCCGGTGTCTTCTTTGAGCATCCTGTTGGGGGTAAATCAAGCTGAGCTTCTCTATTATCCATGCCTTTCTTCATCTTCTAACACATTTGCCACATATCCATTCCATGATCCTGCCTGCATTGTCACGTGTCTATCCCCAGGGCACTTCATTCCCTCTCATTTCTTTGACAGTGTTTGCTGCTTGGTCTCCATCGCTCTTTCCAGCACCACTCTTGTCTCAATTGCTGGCAATTTCAACAGACAAGAGATGCTTCCAAAGACCAATTCCTTTCCCATCTCTCCTCCCGCCATCTTGTCCTACATGTATCTGAGCCA